GTAATTACGATATTTCTTCTTAGGAAACGTGCTGTTCCTAATAGTAATATCCCGATTAGCAGAGTCCTTAGACTTATAGCCTAGTTCTTAAGTCGAACTGAGTTGGCCCCAATTGTCTTCGCCATTGATAAAATGATCTGTTTTATCCACGGCTATATCTGCAAAGGTGGTCGTCATTACAACCATCATAGGTCGTCTGACTCTGATCCTTTGTAACTCCATACCCAACTAATAGATTTTCTCTGGATAACTTTCTATTAACTCGCAGGAAGCTATTCTACCAGATTGGTAATTAATCCCTTGGTCGGCAACCCTTGGTTGCTCTCTGGGTAGTAGGTTTCAGTAACTATAATAGTTTTGGGAATCACCCCATGACTACAACATGTTCCGAAACCCAGTTGCAACACTCCGTGAAGTTCGTTGGCTTCTTTGGTAGTGTCTTTTAGAGTTCTAGACTCTTCTGGTAGATGTAAATGTATTGGTCTCTAGTAGAGATCCTTTACCATTTGATACCATCTCTTTGTGCGAAATCGTCCCGTTACTTATGGCCTATGCCAAAGGTGTCATGTCCTTGAAGCCAGGTAACTCTCTGAGTAGTTAACGGAATTACTCAGTTCCACTTCCCAGACCTAGCCGAAGGTCCTCTCTCATATATCCTACGAACAGGATCCAGTCGGACAGACGGCGACGACGTATATGGTGTTATTCTAACACCTTCAATTCTGTTGTAATATAGTCACAGGACGCAACTGAGATTAATATATATGATGACGTGCGGGCCCCGTAAGGGAGCCGGAGGGGGGTGTTGGAGACCAGAGATTCCGATTCTGAGTGGGGTTACTCTACTTAGGGTGGTTCCTAGGTATCAGGTTCTGGTATTACTAATAATTTCTCATTGAGATCCTTTATCATTCAATATCATCTTTTCGTGCAAAAACAACCTTTTACCTATGGCCTATGCCCATGATGTCACATCTTTAAAGCCTTGTAACATCCTAGGTATTTCATGGATCCACTCTATTCTACTTCCCAGAGCTAGCTGAAGGTCCCCACTCATAAATTCCTTGAACAAAAACCTGTCAGACAGACGGCCACAATGTAACGTGTTGGCAAGGTGCTAATCACCTTATCAGTAATAGATACGATAGTTGGCAGGTGGCCTGCTCTTCCAGAGAGGAGGCGAGAGCTGAGAACTAAAGGAGGCTTCGAAGGTGTACTGGGGAACAAAGAAGTAACCGTTCAACCAAGTATATTGAAATACTGTCTGTCGAAATCTGCCTTTTCTATCGTAGAAACAGGCAGTCTTTAAATACACAAATCTGTTCATGTCTAGCATGAACAAAACTAATCAAAGGTATCAATCGATACGCTTTGGTAAAACTCCTTAAGTATCAAAGCGATACTTAAAACAAAACATAAAACAAAACCAAGTATCAAACGATACTTAAAACAAAACATAAAATAAAACCAATAACCAAGTACCCGTACCGGTTACACACAACATATATGGTGCTATTCTCACACTTCCAATCGTGTGGTATTATAGTCACAGGACGCAACTAAGGTTCAAATGTATGGTGACGTGAGGGCCCCATAAGGGGGCCAGAAGGTGGTGTCAGAACCAGTGGGTTGCGATTCTGAGAGAGGTTACTCTACTTATGATGGTTCCTACGTATCGGATCCTGGTATTCCTAACAGACCTTAACAATATAATATTATACTTACTATTCTATTCTATTTCATCCACTTTACCTTATCCTTAGTAGTCATAAACGTAAAGAGTATAGTTCCAGCCTTTCTAGACAATCTCTGTCTACAGAAATGAATCTTAATTGGCCTAAATAACTCTAAGTCTATACAGGTTGTCTCTGCCTAACTGGTTTCACGCATGACTTACTCAAGTCATATGACTTGTTTATGTTATGATTTGTTATATTTCACACATAACTCGCTTATGAGTCCGGGGTTTTGCGCATATGTCTTATTTACGAGGACTTTACATAACTTAAAGTTATCAGTTATCAGGATTAGCGTTGGTAATAAGAGCACTATATAAGGAAGCTGGTACAGCTGAGGAGGATTGGCTCTTTACACTTTGTTCTAAGTAATTTCCTTACTTATTACTTTAAATAAATAAAACATCTTTACACTCTTTATCCTTTATATTTCTCACCAGTGTAAGGGCAATATTTCTATACATCACAACAGTAGGTGTTATCTAAGTAAGTATAGTTAACATAGGCCAAAGGGTCTAAGAACTATCAAAGAAAGAAGATATATTTATATATCAAGATAAGGTAATATTTCCTGTTGCTATATATTAACAAGAACTTTGAAACGTTACAATACCCTTAAATTGCTATACAAAATACTTAAATTTTCAAATTTTGTTCTATCTTAAATGAACTAACAGTTTTGAGCTCATAGTTAGAGAATAAGAGCATATTATGAATGAGATGCTAATAGTTTAGCTGAATTACAAAATAGCATTACAAAAACTCAGTGAAGTTATTATAGAGTTATATTCTCTCCAACTACTATATTAAATTAGTACTATACCATACCTTATATAATATTCAAATCTTCTTCACAATATTATAATAATATATTATTAGTATATATCAGAATCCTCATTATCCATCTCTTGTGGACTTGGCAACTTCTTGTATTACTCTTGTACTACTCCTCTTTCATTTTCTATGTTATATGGTTGACAGTCCTCTCTTATTGCAGCCTATTATCATAGCAGTTAAATGTCAATCTTGTACAACGCCAGCTCGACTACCGTCTCCGTATGACCTGAGTCTCCGGTATACAGTTTAGAAGAGAGGCAGTTGATTTGTCAAACTTCGTTCCTCAACTACCTAGAGTTAACCTCAAATTATGATTTGGGAATTTGAAAACGTTGGAGGTGTGAAATTTGCAAATCATGAGTTCAATTTGGGACAATCTCAAATCACTGCGAGGCAAACATGCCCGCTTACTATATTATGGGGTCATATGATATCACTCGTTTGCGTATTTTTCCTTCAAATGTGCCTCCGATATTTGTCTACTCCCACCCAAAATCCGCTCTCCTTTATGTTTTGATAACCCCACCAAAACGAAGGATCTTTCCATTCCCTCCCCCCGTTAGTTTGAAGCTAGAATGGTATTCTATCACCAGATGCAGTTATTTTATTTTTCCTCAAATGTATTGATGTCGATATACCATTAGGTCCCGACCCCCACCTTCCATCACCCCGCTCAGTGTTCAAGGTACGGGTGTTCACGGTACGGAGCTCCCTCACCATACGGATTTATTCCCGTACCTTACCAAGGGAAAGTCTTTCCTGGTGGGATAGGGCGGGATATACCGTAGTAGGTCGTCTACCGGTACTCGAGCAGAAAGCTGAATAGAGTACCGGTGGATACGGCAATTCTAGTCATAAATGCCAAGTCACTGCTCCTCCTTCCATCTTCACGGAGTCAATCACGGAATCAGCAAGAGAGAGCTGGATCAGCAGCTTTGCAGAAATCCGAAACTCGTTCCCCCCCCTAGATGATCGCGCCCGACATCTCGATGAACAGCAACTTGGCAATCTCAAGCCTTGTTCAGCCCCTCCGAGTGACAAAATAAAAACAACTACCATACCTTACCAGAGTGGGAGCAATTCGAACGCCATGGCGCACGGTCCAATTATTGGGATTCTCAGGTTTTCCAGTTCTCAAGGTATTTTTAACCTTTCTCTTCCTTTTCCCGTTTTTTCGTTGGGCACCTCGCTACTCGACCCTTCCTAGGTATGGTCCCTTTTTCCCACTTTTACAGTACGCACAGCGCTCGTCCATCAATCAGTGTATGGACCCATTAACCGGAACAGATAGAGGATTCATTTGGCTGGTTTAACCTCAAGTAACTACGGCACATATCCCATTTCTTGCCGTACCTTTAGTATTAATTACCTTCGCACCCGGGAGCCCCACACACCACCTCCTGGGTTGGGAACGGAAGGCTGCCAGTGAAACGACAACATGCAGCTCTTGTATGATGTGGTAATTCGAGTGAGACCCTGTGCAAGCCAAGGGCGTACAAGCCTAGGCGAATGGAGAACCCCTTTGAGACAGCCAGCCGCAAATTGCCGCGCATTGGTTTCCGGACGTACGCAATTGGGGGAGGCGAGGTCTTATTTACTTATTTATATAACTGAAGAGCCTTTTGTCAAGTGTAGGAATACCCCGTATTTGGATCAGCCTGCTGATCGATGCAAACTGGCCGGACGAATGGGTGGGGGGGAGGTTTTTCTGAGGGCCAAATGTGAGAGGGATTGGGTTGCGGGGTATGCATGATAAGGTAGGATACGCTTACGAGTACTCGAGTACTCGAGTACCTGAGGCATCACGATCGTAGTCAGCGGAGAGCTTTTTGGAGATGTTACCGTAGCGTATTTTTGCTGCCATTATTTAGTATCATCATGTACTCGAGTACAGTACTGTGAACGGAGCTTTCTACTATTTTGTATTTGGATTGTCAACAAAAGATGGCTTAACCGGTAAATTAACAAGAGTTTAATAACAGCAACATTGGATCCCACATTGCCATTTCATTAATGTCGATCGCGGTTGCTGAAATCAACACAACACCACCATGCAGCAGCGCCCTAACGTCCCCTCAGCAATCTCCCCCAGTGAACCACCCCCAGGCCACCACCCGAATATCACAACTTTCCACGGCAAAAACCCGCACGAAAAAGCACATTCGGTCTCCATCCTACACTTACACTGGCCAAGTTCTACGAGTACTCGTAGTCCTTCCCCGCCACCCTCGCACAAAGAAGCCATGCCAAGAAACCAACCACTGGGTTACTTGTAATATCAAAAGCAAAAAAGCAAGATAGGGGGGGGGGACGAAAAAAAGAACATGAAAATACGAAAGCTGACACTCGCTCGACAAGCGAAGGCAAGTAACATAAAAGCCCGTACCTCCGATCCTTCGACGCGAGTTTCTACCTCCTCTCAGTACCACTCTCGCTCCTACTACTCCAGTACTCTCAATTTTTTTTCTTTCTCCCCACGGCTGCAGGATTGCTTGATTGGTCGATCAATTGAGGTTGCTCACGTTCCCTACAAAAGGATAAAAGAGACGAAATAAAATAAGCATGCGCTCCTCAAATATTCTCGCGAAGCTACTTGCGCTCGCTTCGATCGTTGGAATTGTTGCAGCCCAAACCTTCTCCATTGTTCCTCCCCCAACTACGACCGGGACCGGGGCCGGGGCCGGGACCTCTCCTACTACTCTTACCCCCCCGAGGCCGTCGACTGTATGTTAAAAAGTCTACCCTCCCTGACACTCCTTACTAACTGGGGGCATAGCCAACGGGTCCTCCGAGTTCTCCGGTAGCTCCAGTAACTCCAGTAACTCCAGTAACTCCTAGTGGAGTAAGTCAATTCCCTTGATCCTCTTCCGCCCTTTCTGAAAGGTACACGCGGGGGGTTTGATAGTTTATTAACTGATTAATTGATTCAGCCGAGCATTCCCTCCGCCACGACGAACACCACCAGCAGATCAGCCGGCCTCACGACTGGCCTCAGCATCCCGTCGGGAAATTCCACTGGACCGGCTGTTGCTTCCAAGACGGGCGATACTGCTGGTGGTTCCGGAGAGGAGAAGTCTGGTACCGTTAGCTCACCTACTGGCGGTTCCGGCTCGGGTACAAGCGGTGACGGTTCGGTATCTCCCGCTTCTTCTTCCAAGCCTGCGACCACCTCTTCCAGTGGTGCCGCGGATAGGAATGGTGGAAGCGTGCTCGCTGTGGTGGTGCTTGGGTCGCTCGTGTGGTTCTTGGGATGAGTGTGATGGACAATAATGTTAGGATGGGCTAGACGTGTTTTTAAATGTACTTTTTTGTAATGGTTAATATCGATTCGTATTGGGATTCAAATCTGTTTTTCCAAGTGTTTCCAAGTGGGGAGGGGATGGTGTTGAGCCAGATTTTGTGAAAATGTGCGGGAGGTCAAGTTCTGGGACGACTTGTCATACCACTCTGCACTTACTAGATTCAAGTCTGTCAAAGTGGTTGTTTGGTGGACTAACATTCATTCACTGTGCGCCGTCCAACCAAGCTAATTCTGAACTCTTATCATACTTGGACTACCAAATAACCATCCGCACACCCACCATCCAAACGAGACAAATACCACAGCCGAAAAGGTGCAGAGTATGATACCGTAATTCACACCAGCAACAACCAGCACTGCCCGCCCACCCAAATACTCGAGTATCGCCAAACCCAATCACAAAGACCCACCACACCAGAGCTGATCTCCCAAAGACACGCACAAATTCACTTTCCGATCCAATTCCAGAAACCACCAACACTCCCCTTGCTTAACTCACTTACCAATTTGTATGATACCCGGCCGCAACACACACACACACCTCCACCCGAACCCATAATCACAGCCTACAAATCGCACCATACTCACTCACCTCCCCCCACCCAAATTCGTGCCATCTCACCACTTTCGATCCGACCGACACACCGCTCAATCCCCCCACCCCACTACACCTTTCCCGTAACTTATTTGTACGCTACATTACCATCTATCTCATCACGGATGAACGAACAAACAAATGGACAATTATATACGGGATGCTGTGTTTATACCCCGCGATAATCCCTTTCACTATCTCGCCAACCACACACGTCGTAATATGTATTTGATTTGCAGGAAATACATCTAAGGGCGCATGGTTTAGGGGTATAATATCTCATTTGCAATGATTCTTCTGAGGAGTCATAAAAATTTGAGATGGTCCTGGGTTCGATTCCCAGTACGTCCATTCTTTTTCCATTTTCTCTTTTACTCGAATGCTGGTTAGTATCCATCCATAAATAAAGATGTTCATTCACTTACAATATCTTGTATGATGCTCCTCTATTTCTATTTTATTCTGTTCTACTCGTTGGATCACTGTCGGCCATGTGACTTGTCAACCATCGCTGCAGGTGTCATGCAAGGAGACCAACAACTTCGCTACTTTCGCGACATTTTGTAAAATTTATGACTTCTATTCTATCATTTAAGAGGGGGGATTTTGCTCTACGAGGCCTTTCCTCGTTTTCCCAAACACAGCTTGCACTTGAAAATGGTGGTTAAAAATTAGAAAATGAAATCATGCCCGCACAAAATCACTGTACTAGAACGAGCGAGTGAACACTTTCCCGTTCTTTCACCATATCTGAGTAGCTACCCAACAATTTATTTGTCCAATTGTTTATTTAGGAGCGATCATAAGCTCCGGACGAACAAGTTGATCAAACTAGAACCCCGTCAGCACCCACTCATCCTCCCGAACCACCCGCTCGTGGGGGAGTAGGGGAAATGCGTACCTCTTCATTAGTCAAAGCCCCTAGCTCCAGCGCCGATTGCTTCAGTGTTATCCCTTTACGGTGCGCGTTCTTGGCAACTTTACTCGCCGTGTCGTACCCGATCTTTGAATTCAGACAGGTGACCAGCATCAAGCTCTCATGCAAGAGCTTTTCAATCTTGTCCTCATTCGCTTGGATTCCCACAACGCAGTTATCTTTGAAACTAGTCATACCGTCGGCTAGGAGGGTAATAGAATGTAGGAGGTTCTTGATAAGGACGGGTTTGAAGACATTGAGTTCAAACTGTCCTTGTGAGCCGGCCACAGTTATTGTTGTGTTGTTTCCTGGAGGGAATTAGTTGGTAGAGGAAGGAGAAAGGAACAGGAGAAGGCACCGATTACTTGTGCACAAACCATAGTGATGGCTTCGCACTGGGTTGGGTTGACTTTTCCGGGCATGATGGAGCTACCAGGTTCATTCTCTGGAAGGCTTAGCTCACCAAGACCGCAGCGGGGACCAGATCCCAAATACCTAATGTCGTTGGCGATTTTCATCAAGGAGCAGGCGAGGGTATTAAGCGCTCCACTCGCCTCGACAATGGCGTCATGGGCTGCCAATGCTTCGAACTTATTGGGCGCAGTCTTGAACTCAGTTCCAGTCAACCTGGACACTTCTGCGGCGACTGCAACGTCGAAACCCTTCTTGGTATTGAGTCCAGTACCAACAGCAGTCCCCCCCTGCGCCAAAAGCTTAAGTCGAGGAAGGGTGGCCTCAATTCTCTCAACCCCGAATGCCAACTGAGTGGCATACCCCGAAAACTCCTGCCCCAATGTCAAGGGGGTAGCATCCTGAAGATGCGTTCTCCCGATCTTGATGATATTTTCAAAGGCCTCAACCTTCTCCTGGAACGCTGCCAACAAAGCCTTCAGGCTAGGCAGCAGCTTCGTCTCAATCTCTACGACGGCCGCGATGTGCATTACTGTGGGGAACGTATCATTGGAAGAAGCACTCATGTTGACATGATCGTTCGGATGGACCGGGCTCTTACTGCCCATTTCCCCTCCAAGGATCTCAATAGCTCTATTGCTGATGACCTCGTTCGCATTCATGTTTGACTGAGTGCCGCTGCCGGTTTGCCAGACCACAAGTGGGAAGTGCTGAAGGAGTTTTAGGGAAATGACTTCATCTGCTGCTTGTTGGATGGCCCTGCCAATGTCCTCGGGTAGGCCATGACTCATGTTCACCGTTGCCGCTGCACGCTTGAGGATGCCGAAAGCTTTAATGATTGCCGGAGGCATGCGGTCGAATGGTTGGTTGATCTTGAAGTTTGTGAGGGAACTAGAGAAATCATCATTATCTTTATTAGCTTCCAGTAGCTTCTTTTGTCAATAACAGCGAGTGTATAAGGTGATGGGATAAAACAAACCGTTCAGTCTGTGCTCCCCAGTACTTGTCTGCTTCAACCTTGATCTCGCCAAAGGCATCTCTCTCGATTCTGAAATTATCTACCTGCAAACCAAACGTTCAAGCAAGAAAAAAACAAAAAAGGGGTTAGCTCGCTCCCAAACACTAGCAAGAACGAAAGAAAGAGAGAAACAAACCATAGTGGACGAGCGCGTTGAAAACTGTCTTAGGAATCGCGGACTTGTGATGCTGATGAAAGGAGTGGTTTTGTCGCAAACATTCAATAGACTGCAAACTCCCACTCGGGCAGACGCAATAACCGCGGGTTGTTGTCCTCTTGCCTCTCCTGTTCTCGCTCCTGAGCCCCTCACATGCAACCGAATTCCTCGGGCAGCAATACGCAAGGTAGCGTTCATCATAGTCTGGGTGTGACTCGATAGATCAATTCAACAATACTTAGTCCCCAGATTTATTTTGTTTTTTTTTCTAGCCTCACAGTCCTCTTCTTCAGAGAAAAGTGAAAATAGAGCTGTCCGTTGGCAACAAGTCTTTTGGAGAAGGTGATGAGGAAAAGGCAAGGAATTGAAGCCGGGGGGTTTGTATTTTTCGCAACTTGTATTTTTTTTTCTTTCTCCCCCCCACATAACTTTTAGAGGTATGCGGGCCGCTGCTCGGAATTATCCGGGTTCTGGGGGCTTCCAGGGAATACGGTAGTCGTGGGCCAATACCGGTACTCAAGTACTGTAGATGATACTTGCCCTGCCGTGGACATGTTTTACTTGCTGGATTGTGCTTATTGGACACCGGTGCGGTGATTTTTGAACTGGGTCTTGGATGGGGAGCAGAGACATTGTGTCTTGTCTCAGCTATGGGAAAATGTAACCCAAATACTCCGCAGAAAAAACACCTGAATGGGGACCGTTGGGCGATGGGATCGGAAGAACATTGTTCCTATTTTTGGGAGGAGGTACAATAGGTCGGGGGGAACACTCGTAACTGGGAGATGGTGTTGCGAATACGGTCTCTCGGAATTTTGATGCTGTACGGGAATCTCTTTTGCTATTGGGCCACTGGATAAAGGTATGAGTATGATAGCTTCGCATACATTCATTGGCGGTCACTCGTGCGTTCCAGTGCTTGTGTGGCCATGGGCTCCTGGTAAGTAGATGAGATGATGAGATGTGGAATTGAAATATCACTCTAACAATAACGCCATCTGCTAGGGTCGCAGGGCTCCTACTCCAAGTTCTTCCTCGTTGTTAATAGCTCGAATGTCCGATTATCACTGATATTGAGATAGACGTCACAGGAGCTAGATTTGATGAGATGAAGATGATGATTAATTGGAATCTCTAGGAGTAAAAACGGGAAAGGAGAGAAATGCGGCCATTTAAAACGGGGGTCAAGACGGCGATGTTGAATCCTCACACCCAATATAATATTATGATATTCCAAAGTCCACACTTCCGATCCCAATTCCTAATGTTTTCTAACACCTCTAACAACTGATACCGCTCGTTACACTAATACGGCGTAATTTACGATTATCCCCAGTAATACTTATGCCGTCAAGCCACCATTAATCTCCATGACAGCCCCATCATTCTCTCCAGATCGCAGCATCTTCTCAATCTATTACATAACATTGCACTGTCAGCCCGTACCCACCTTGCAGACGTGAGGAGGAAGTATGATATCATGGGGCGATAAATAACGCACCATCTCCAAATCCCCCACCGCAAGTTCCGGTGTCTGCCTTTCATCCGGGGCACCCGCAATGACAGCCTTTGCGAACGCCGCAACCTCCGGCCCAACCCCTTTCTTATCATCAGGGAACTTCTTGACAATCTCATCCTCGAACCCTCCCCCAGGTTTCCTCCTGAGAATAACAACCTCGCTGACAGGCCGCACTGTGACACTCCCATTCTCACACGCAACCGCAAACTCCCATCCTTCGAAGGTCGTTCCGACGCTGACCTCGAAGCTCCCCACAACGCCTTTATCTGTCTTGAAGATAGCAGAGATGGTGTCCACGGGGGGCAAGTGCTCGAAATTTGAGGCGGTGAAAGCAGAGACTTTCACTATCTTTTCGTCAGATAGTAGAATGCGCATGCTTGCAGCGTAGTGCACTCCGGCGTCGAGGAGGAAGCCACCTTGGTAGTCTGGCGTCTTGCGCCAGGAAGTTTCGTAGTATTTCCAGCCTGGGGTGACGAGCCAGCAGACCCGCGAGCGGAAGTTGATGACCCGGCCGAGGGCGGTTATCTCCCGGTGGGCATGTCGCCAGGCTTCCTGGAAGCGGAAGTTCTCCGCCACGCTCCAGTTTAGGTCCGGATAGGACTGTTTGTAGGATATTAGCTCGCGGGCTTGTGCTAGGTCTTTCGCAACGGGCTTCTCGCTCAGCACATGTTTGCCGGCTCCGAGGGCTTTTTTGATTACTTCGGGTTGGATGGTAATAGGGAGACTGGTTCGGGGGGTTTCATCAGTACCGGGTTAATTCATGGGGGGAGATGTTTACGCGATGATCACGGCCTGGATATCGGAGCGCGCCAATAGTACGCCCAGGCCATTCTCGGAATCGTCAGAGTAGATATCCACTCCTGACTTCGCCTGCAAAAGCTTTTTCGCAGAGGCTTCCGAACGGGAGTAAACAGCCTTCAGAACTACATCTGAACAGGCTTCTACTGCTGGAAGATGCTCCTCCTGGACAAAGATTCCGCACTATTCAACAAGCAAAATAAGCAAGCCCCCACCCGATCGACAGGTAGTGAACAAAATGCTCACCCCCAGAATAGCAATCCCGATTGGAGCCATTTTGTAATCCTATGTTATATCGATGGGTTGTTTTGTTTTGTGGAAACGGTGTGATAGTGATATAAACGAGAATAGGGTGGGTCGGGAGTAGTTGAGTGTCCGTTTGTTTGCACTGAGAATGCGGAGACGGGGCTGGATGGTCATGTGGTTCTTCCCGGACCCTACCCCGCCGTGCATGAGATGGATGCCTCTGAATAGTTTGGGAGATGCACTAGACACTTGGGTCTAGTATCTTTGTACCATAGTATGGTCGATGGAAAACTGTATATATGATGGTGGGATTTTACAGCCGGGCTCCCCCATTGCTGGGAAATGCTGGTACTCGTATAGTACTCCACCCACAGCACAGCGGGACTGCAAGATAGTAATCGAGAATTTTAATATCTCGTATGGTAGGATACTACTATATTGTATAAACGTCTCTATTATACTGATATCATACTTCTCCGCATCATATCGAGTGTACTCGTACAGTACACTTTTAACACCCCACCTTTCTTGAACATTCCTATGATGCCACAACATTTGGCGATTAAGATCCCTCTTTTTTTTTTTTGTTTATTAAACAAGACTCCTGGCTTCTCATGAGCCTTGCAAGTTTGCCCATTTGCAACTTATACAACAACCGTCAGGACTGATGGTTTTTCCTTTTTCAAAAAGAATTAAAAAAAAATCTGAGAAAAAGTACCGCGAAATAAGATAACCCCACCAAGAGAAGACGTTAAAATATTGGGTCAAAAAACAACTCTTTTCACCAAGAAACGGGCGGAAAGAAAGGAAAGGAAAAGAAAAGGAAAAAGAACCAAACCAACAATGTATCAAATGAAGTGGTAACTAGCTATGGAAGGTGATCGAAACAAACCCCGTCGCCCCAAACTCGCAAGAATAAGCCCCGGCGATAATGAGACCGAAGGAAACTGAGAATTGAAAAAAAATAAAAAATAAAAAAATAGCACCGACCCACCAAACCAATTGAAATGCCATAGCCGGAAGTACCAGAAAAATAAAAGATGAAAGACCCAGACCATTGCGTTTATAAGAATCCTGACTCTTGTAACAGCCTGTAGAAATAGATCGTCTTACGTCAGAACCTAAATTCCCCCATTTATAGTTCTAGAGTGTGCTCGTTCCCCCACCGACTCTAATCTCCCTTGAAGTTTTAGGACTTCCTGTAACTTGGCTTTTATCATAACCAAAAAGAGGGAGCCGGTGAAGGAACAAAGGAGAGGAAGACATGATGCAAAAGGGTAAGGAAATATCAGGGGAGGGATTATAGGAAATCGAAGTACCTCGCAATCTTCTCATCCTCACGCTCTCTAGGCTCGAGGCTTAGAGACAGGTTATACATATCATTGACATCTCTAGCTGACTGCATGTTTGAAATGATATAATCCTGGAGCTCTGGGACAGGTTGCAAGGGGTACGGGACCGATTGATATTGTTGGATCTCTCGGATGATGTTCGCCGTCTTAACTCGCTTGTCGAAGTTGATAAGCTTCTGATCCCCTTTGATGAAATCGTCGTTGCCATCTGCAACAAAGGTAAGATCTTTGAGATAGACACCTATAGACCCAAAGTAAGCGAAATGCTATCGAGCACGTAGATTAGACGAAACAAACCGAGGAATGGGACACATGGAGGGTTGACTATGTGCAGCATCTCTCGATATTCTGCAAAATTCATAGTTGCACCCATGAGAGTATTCATCCCCTCCAACGTCTGGTTGGTTCTAGAGGGAACATGTTCCCACGTCCGCTTCAAACGATGTATAGAGGATGTTTGCAGCGCAGCAAGAATGGCAGTGAGCGTCGAAAAGTTATTCAAAAGCCGGCATTTCTATGACAAGTTAGTTTTTGCAATGAGTGACTCTGCTTCCGCAGATACCTACCTCAGCGACAGCAATGAAATGTTTAATGACGACCACCCGCTTCCGAACCTCAGTCTGGGTGAGAATCATCTCCGCAACCCAGTTTGTCAGGCGATTCGATTGCATAATGATCGCGCGAATGTTTTCGGCTGGGTCAGGGCCGCCAGATGAAGGCTGCTTGCTCCAGCCCTTACTGAGGCATTCGGCAGCCTTCAGCTTGCCATAAGACTTAGACTCAATGATTGTGAGCTGTCTCGCAAACTCTAGTGCATCAATGTCTAAGAATTTGAGCTTCTTCATATGTTTCGGCATGATCGGAGGAGGTGGCTGGACAACCATATTAAGGATCAACCGCTTCATCTCTGGTTCTTGTCCCCGAAGGCGTGTTTCAATCAAGGACAGCACTTGACTTGTGCCAGAAAGCTGTGGAAGCATGACATCCTTCGCAAATAGATACATCTTCTTCAAGAGATCCTTTGCGTTGTCGTCCAAACCCTCCATCCAATTCTGTTCCAACCACATCTTCAAAATACTCAACACGCGGACTCTGATAAGTTTCTGTTTCTTCTCAGTCCATATCTCGAATTCAGAACCGCTCAAGGCCGAGGGAGGCTGGACGGTAAATCTCCTGACGAGCTGCTTGAACAATTCGGAAGCAGTTGTGAAAGATCGATATGTCAGTAAAAAGGTGCTGATGAAATTCGAATCAAGCATGTCATGACGAGTAACCCGTTCAACCAAAGCAACTAGTGTTCCACCCTTAACCTTGTTCCTTGCGCCATAGATAATTTCTGAGTCGTAATCACAGTTAAGATACGAAGGAGTCTCCGGTGGCGGCTCTTCACCAAACACTCGAGCAGCTTTTGATCCACCTCCCCCACCTGGCCTAATGCCACGATCCATAGACGATGTAACCCGAGACGTTTGACGCGAACCTGTGCGTTGATGCAATGGGCCTGGAGTGCGACTGGCTTGATCGATAGGCGAAGCATCTGGTTTTCGAAGATCTTCTGTTCGAATATCCTTATTTGGTTCCCTCTCCTGCCTTTCTTCAACAAGCAATTGAGTTGAGAAGTTGAGAGAACTGATGCCACTTTCTATTTCCTTAACGTAGATGCGTACCGAATTCAATCTTTCCTCCAAAGGCTCCCCACGTAGAGCAGCCCACTCGTCAGCCAATGGCGCTGTCACGGCTTGACAGGACAGGAAAAGTTCGGCAAAGGAATCATGCAATCGCTGCTTTTGGGTCGAGAAATCAACCAAGGTAGGATGCTGGGGAGTTGCCGACAATGGGGACATATTTATGCTCTCAATTAAGTTGAAGTATCTCTTGATCGCATCAAAAGCGCCCTGAGCTGCACTGATAACACGCGCGCCTATGATTTCCTGCTCATATTCAGAAACAACAGTTTCGGTATTCTCCAGGGTACTCTCTAAGCGCTTTAGAGCAGGTTTGACGATGCCATAAACTTCCTCCATTCTTTCAATCAGATTTGGTGTGAGGGGTAGCAAAGGATCCTCGGCAGGAGAGAGTGCAGCAGCTCCCGATATCTTTGATGAAACAACTGCCTTGCCAACGCCCTTCCAGCCTCCACCAGCATGACTCCCATAGACAAAACCAGGCTTTAACCGTGGGAGTTTTTCACCCCGCTGCGCCCTGGCAACATCAGCAAAACCAAACACCCCAATCATCACTTCATCGGCCTCGCCCAAACACTTTGATTCTGCATCAGCTGGTGGACAGTCTGTAGCAGCAACATGTGAGGATAAAACCAGCTTCGAAAATGCTGCCATGAAATGCCTGTAATGTGGATTGAGGGCCTTATTACTAATTATTATCGAGGGCTGTCCGGAGTGGTTGTCGGTGGTTGCTGAGCCCGCCGCAATCAACAATCGAAGCATGTCAGAAACATCTTCAGCTCGAGCGACATATTGAGCACGGTCGAAGGTATTGACTGCCTGTCGGTACCTCTCCACAGCAAGCCTTGTGTTATCGATGAGCTCGTCCCAAGATGATGGCACAGGCATTCCGTTGTCGTGATATGCGCTCGGAGTGGATTTTGTGTTGATAGTAGGGGAGCCAGCGTTCAGATTAACAGCAGTGGCGGTTGTTGACACGGAGAGCGACCGCGAATGGCCAGGTTGGAACGAGCCGTTGGGGCCGCGGGTGGCGTCGATGGATGTCGAGACGCTATCTACCAGGGTAGCTTGCGATTCGCGGTCTACGAGAGTCTTGTCAGCTTACTGATAGCCAAACATTAATAGGGTATAGACACAGCAAGCGAACACTGACTTTCAAGGTCCTGCGAACCTCTCGTTAGTAAAATAATAATAATTCCATTTGGGCATCGGCCTGAGGGGAAAACCTACTCTTGACGGACTGTGCATGGACAAGACCAACATTTCTCCTTCTTTATCCGACGCGGACTCCACATCGTCATCTCCAAGGTCACGATAGGCCGGTTCTTCTCTCTCATAACCCCTAGCCATCAGTTCTGGCGGTGGACGTGTCTGCTCAGGAGCCGAGAAATTCAACCTATCTCGGGGGCCAGACTCCGTCGTCGATGTTGGCGTTTCCAACGGAAGTTCAGTCCTCGTTACCCCCGTTATCATATTAAAGTAATACAACCTCCCATCTGGCGTCGCCTGAGGAATCCAGAATGCCGCCTCATCATCGGCCCTATCGTCCGTTCCTTCCAGCGGTAATACCGGCGAAGCCAAACCATCTCGTTCTGAGTCATCATCGTCATCATCATATTCGTCATAAGAATCGTCCTCGTAAATTCCATCACTATCATCTAAAGGTGATTGAGTATTTCCATTTCCAGTCAAATCATCTGGAGAAACCAAAGCACAATAATTGCTTGGAAACCACCCTCTCTGGTCATGCACTATCCCATCCCACCACCCGCTTTCCAGCTGAGTGATAACTTGGATCACGTCTCCCTGACTGAAGCTCAAACTGGTAGGGTCTTCGGAAGCATAATTGTATAAGGCGCGCACATACATTCTGGAGGGTACCTGAATTTCCTGTCGTATAACCCTCTGGGGCATGGCTGATGACTCTCTAACGTTGGAAGAAGAGCGTTCTCGGGAGAAGGAGTTCGATGTGCTGTTGGACCTGCCCTCCCGAGCTCCACTATCAGATGCCCCGTTTCCCCAGCTCCCGTTACTCAGTCCGTTTCTATCAACGTGCGATGAGTTTGGTGAGAAGAGAGGGGAATGTCGGGCGGTTGCAGTGGCAATCATTACAGGAGAGAGATGAGGCGGGAGAAGATTGATTTAGCGTCCGAAAGTTAAAACGGGCAGAAAAGAGACAAATCACGACGCTAGGTCAGCCGGGATAGCCCACCGAAGAAAAGCGGAGCGACGTTTGTTGGTTCCCGTAAGGATGTAGGGGGTTAAGGAACCCAGAAAGAATAGATCTAGTTGAACAGGCGAGTAGCAGAGTCGGAGGATGTTCAACCGCAACGAAAACAGTCGAACACTTGGGGGTTGTTCCCGAAGTGAACAAGAGGAAAGCTGCGGGAATGATGTTCAACGATGCTCCTGTTGCCGCGAATGGTCGCTAAGGAGCAGAAGTTTCGACGGAAGAGCAAGGAGGGGGGGGGTTGTAAGATGTGCGCGTGGAGAGGAGCGACCGTAGGGAGAGAGGGAGAAGAGGGTAGACAGAGATGAGCCTGGTAACCAGGTAGCCGACAGACCCAGCAACAAGCTCTGGCGGCTCCGGAGATAGCCTTTTGAGTTTGTTCTTTTTGCTGTATGTTCGCTTGATCGCTTTTCTTCCTTCTCGTAAATTTTATCTCCTCCTCCCTTTTCTTTCTTTCTTTTTCCTTTTCTTTTTTCTTTCTCTTCCCTCCGTAGATGATGAATTCGAAGCAAGGATTCTAGACTACCGCGTACATGTAGGTACAGCAGAAAAAAAAGGAAAGAAACAAAGAAAGAAAAAAGTACAGTGCTTGCACAGCGAAATAGCAAGCCAGCAGTACAGTACCGGTGAGGAAAGGGATGTGAAGGAAAAAAATCCCAAATCAGAAGAGAGACTACGAAGAGAGTGTAAAAAACGAAAGCAATGGACCAAGCGGGAAAGCGGGCAAGCGGGCAAGCAGAAGCACAGACGAGGTGAGGTCAAGGAAGGAAGGAGCGGACTATGAGGAAGGCGACGGAGGATGGTGGTGGTGGATTCGTGAGAAGAATTATGGTCAAACGTCGGGAAAAGAGTGGATTCGTGAGAGAAGAGGGGGAGCGTTCGCACTCTCCTCACCCTTAACGGTCAACGTACCGTAAAGTACTGCTACCTCACTAGGGCTGTAATGTATGTATCATATCTTTTTTTTTGCCAGTTCTTCCAGATGCTATGGTTTTGATACTCTTCTCCTTTCTAACGCAGACCTCAAGCCCCCAATTCAAAATGGTGGGTTTGCTGCAGTACAGGTTTTTTTTTTTTTTTTTTTTACCTATGATACTTTGTACTGTACAGTACCGGTACTGTACTTGCCCCGCCAGAGTCGTCTTGCCCCTGCATCTCAGAAATCCATCTAGTTAGCACGATTGCCCTCATCTACGAGTACGGTACAAAACGAGCGCCTGCCATTCATACACCCACCTCCACTTTTCCATTACAACTATCGAATTCATCCACATAATACGTTCCCTTTTCCTACGCAGGTAGTCCCGGCGGGAAAACCCCGTTCTCTCGTACTGTACAGTACGTACTGGTACAGTACTGTGACTCCCGCACCCGTACCCTATCTCTCTATCAAGATTCAATCACCCCACCACCAGCTCCACTCCTTCCATCCCTCCATTCATCCTTCCGTACTAGAATGGATGAATGAAAGAAAAACATAGGAGGGACCCGAGGGAAGAGAATCAATCAGAGGACAGAAAGGTCCCGATAAGCTAAGGGAGGAGGGGGGGGAAAATGTGTATAAATTCCAAGATACAATGGTCAGATTCCGCATCGAAACCTTCAACCATCTTCCCTGCTCCGGCTCAACACGCCAGCAGCACGGACGACACAAGACGTATCGGGCCTCACCCAGCGAAAGCCTTCCAAGCGACGCCCCAATTCCTAAAGCAAATACAAGTGCCGGTACCCCAAAAGCCACCATTACCGAGTGGAAAAATACCGTGGGCAGCCATTTTCCTCTCCCCTCTTTTCTATCCCATTCGTTCGTCCCGGTCATCCCTCTTTTACTCTCGTTTGAAGGAAAATTTCCCGCTCCGCCTTCTCCATATGAGGGGGGAATTGAGTACATTCTGTGCAGATATCCGCGCTTATAAGGATTTCGGTTTGGTCAGCCGGGGTGGACTGGTGACTCTAGTGTTACCGATACTGACATCCAATGGTGCCTAGAAGTAGGGCCAAAATAAAAACCACGTTTCCCCTTTCTCCTTTTGTCGTTGCTCGTCTGCTTCGCTGCGGCATCGAATCGACGACCGTTTGGGATGAGCATCTGCCTGCTGCCGTCCGTAACGGGGGTGGGGTTTCCAATGACATAACTATACCGTATCTGAGAATACCCTACGGTATTTAAATGGGCTCAGGATGAGATCTCTCTCCCCTCTTCTGAGGTAAATTATCGTTCGTAGACGGGGTTGGACACCACTCGACCGAGCGCAATGCCAGACGCCTTACAGCGCAGCAATTGACACTATATAAAGCCGGACTTGGGAAAAGACTGGAGTACCAGTATTGCCGTTAATTACGGAGTAATGCAACCGGGACCTGCAAGTACTAGTATTATGATACTTGGATGCGAGAACAGGTAATAGGTGCCCAACTCCCCCAATTTTTCCTCAATTCCACAGCTTTGAACCCTACTCGTACAATACTTCACCTCGGGTAGAATAGCGAGATTCTGCTCCATCGTGCGCTTTATCTCTCGAGTCTGGGCATCGGTGTATACTCCTTTCAAGTTCTACTGGAAGATTTTACATTGTTTGAAAGCCAAGCGGAGTGGGGATAGGGACTATTGTATGGTCACTCAAATCCATGCTCGGAATCAGGACCACAAAGATCAAGCTGTTGGGCTAGCATAGGAATGTTTTCGGTAATGCTACATTATCTCTGCACCATAGTCGCTGAACTTTTAGCCCGCGCGACGAGAAGGGTTGCCGCAACCATACAAGTAAGCCACCCTTGTCGAAACCCTGTCGTCCCTTTTGCAACGTGGTGTGCGCGATGCATGACAGAAGAATCTCGCTAGCAGACATTGCTTGAGTCTACAAGTAGGAGCCTCTTGGTGCGAAGTTATCGTTTTAGAACTACTCTACAGGCTACAACAAACCCAGTAGGCAAATGCCGGTACTGGTACGAGTACTCACAGGACGCTAATCCTACCAATACGCGATGCCCCCGCCCTTCGTTCCTTCTTTTGTTCCTTCCTTCGTTCCTCCTTCCTCTCCTCCTTCCTCCCTCCTTCTTTCCTGCTTCCCTTCCTCCTTCCTCTCTCGTTTCCCTTCCTTCCTCCCAGATCCGCCCATGATCCAGTAGTCGTAATATAAATAGTGTGATATCACAATTTGCTGTAGCGCACTAGCGGGTTTTCGGCGGGGAGTCTAGAAGGTGGATGGAACGATGGAAGGCTGCCGACCACTTTTGGACACTTTCCCTCCCTTTTCGGTTTTGTTTTACCGGCATTTGTTATTCATACTTCTGTACTTGTACGGGAGGTGAGGTGAGGAATGGAGGAAGGGGAGAGGGAGGGGAAAGACAACTGGATACGGCAGGTCGGAAGTCTCTTTGAGACGGAATTGCTATAGGTTACTTTGGTGGTTTCCCCCTTTCCTCTCTCCCTCCCTTTGATGATGAGTTACGAGGGGAAAGTGTGGTGAACAATTTATAGTGATGGTGGATTCGTTGGAAAAAAATGAGAATAGCGTGTGGCCCGGGAAGCTACAGGTGTACTAGTACGAGTACGGTAGAAAGTGAACTGAGAGTCTTACTCGCAGAGTACGCTGGGGAACTATGTGTGAGGTTCATCTCAACTATGGTACCATCATCGGCATTGTATCCAACCTTGACTATATTAATTCGGGACAAGAGGACAGCTTCCCTTTCTTTATGGACCTGACTGCTGTACAGTCGTGTCTGAAAAGTCTACGTACTCCTCACGGCAATGGCACTACTACTACAAATAATGATATTGACTACAACAAAAAAATGATACGAGTACAATTTTAAAATAGATAATAGTAGAAATAGAAAAAAACAGTTTCTCAATGCTACCATTTTGTATGGCTTCCATGTGCATCTAATACAGCCTGAAGTCTCTCAGGCATCCTCTGAATTTATTCATCAAGTGTCCCATGGGGAATGAGGTCCCACTCTTCCTTTGCTGCCTGAAATAATTTAGCAGCACTATGGGGCCTTCACTCAACCTTGGAGAATCGCTTTTTGAGTGCTCTTTTGAGAATTGCCCAAGCTGTCACGAACGTGGCTTAGCAAGGAAAGGGTTTTTACATGACGCATAGTTATGAGTCACAGGTACGTTAGTGTTTCACACATATGACTCATTTGGGTCATATGATTTGTTATATGTGGGATTTGTGATGCTTTCGCACATGGCTCAAGTATGAGTCATGGGATGTGCGCCTGACAAGTATGCCTTGCGAGTATGTCTTGCGGGTAAGCCTTGCGCATATGATTTATGTTTTGCACATGACCTCATTATGAGGTCAGGGGTTTCGCACATATGACTCAGTTGAGTCATATGACTGGTTTATTGTGTTATGATTGGTTTATGAGTTTTTATACATGACCTCGCTATAGAGTCATAGGTTTTAAGCATGTGATCACTTGGGTCATATGATTAGTTTGTTATGATTTGGTTTCTCACATGTGACCACTTTAGGTCACATGACTACGGGCGGGAAGAATACTATATAAGGAGGCCAATGCGGCCGAGGAGGATAGGTTCTTCATGCTTTGTTCTAAGTACTTTTCCTACTTATTACTTTAACGAATATAAAACACCTTTATGATCTTTATCTTTATTGCAACGTTATCATTATGCTGAGAAGTGCTCGTTACGAAGACGAGTTAGAGAAAGCTTACGATAGGTGTTTCCGATAGAAGACAAAGGTCTTGTACTATCGGTAACATAGGCAGAGGCCTAGAGCTATCGTAAGACAAAGAAAGGAGGAGACAGAGACGATAAGTATCGTTCCCCATCGCCAAGAACTGAACCATCTAAAGAGGGATTGTTACACAAGCATTCTCAATAGGATTGAGATCTGGTAATTTGGGAGGCCAAGCCAATCTTTGATATCCACAGTCCTCTTGTAATTTTTTGTTTTCTGCTCCATTATGCTATGATGCATTATCAGTAGCCATATAGATGATTTGAGGAGCTCCGTCTATGGCTTCTATGAAGGAGATGAGGTAGGGTTGGTAAATCTCAGTTGCATATTGGTGGGAATTGAGATCAAGTTTGTCTCTTTTACTGCTCCTTTCCTCCTCAGTCCTCTTCCTCCCAAGAATGAGCTCAGTCCTCCCTCCATGCATCATTGCAGCATATACACATATGTTGGTGTACCCTGACTTAAATCTAGGCTCTAAGTTCTTTTCTTCTAAATCTTTCACCTGGTCTAAGTTTGATCTTTCTTTCTACAGGATTTGGATTATATTCAATTGTAGCTTTATCTACAAAAACTACCTATTTCTAAGCTCTTGTCCAGTTCCTCCTCACTCTAGCAAACTCCATTCTCTTCTCCTTCTGTTCTTTTCTCTAAAAAGGCTTTTCCTAGGTATTGTGAGCTTAAATCTAGCTTCTTTGATTATCTTGTTAACAGTATCTTTGCCAAGTCTAATATTGGCTTTTTGAGTAATGTCTCTTAGGGCTAAATAAGGCTTAGCATCAATAATATCAAGAATTACTTGCCTTTTAGCATCAGTAATCTTGGTTGGTCTGCCAGATCTGGTGGTATCATGAGTATTTCCATTTCTAGATTTCGCATTTTTGATTACTATTAAAACCATTGACTTAGAGAGGTTCTTAAGCTTTGAAATTTTACCATAACCCATATCAGTATGTTTATAGAGGGCATAGATTTTCCTTT